GTTAAGCGTAAGGAGGGCGAACAGGGCGTTGTTGAGTACAACTTCGAGGCACCGATAGAGCCTGGTCCTTCATTCCCTGNGATGATTCTTGTTCTTGACAACGCCTCATACCACCATGGATTTGACGCGGAAGTCAAAGTGCCGGAAACCAACACCAAGAAGCACAACGTCGATCTGTTGCGTATGTTTGGGGCCAAGTCGATCAGGGTTAGGCGTAAGGAGGGCGAACAGGGCGTTGTTGAGTACAACTTCGAGGTACCGACAGAGCCTGGTTCTTCATTCCCTGCAGGGAACAGGGAGGGCGGTGTAAGCAGAGCGGAGGTAGCAACGGCCACTCGGGAGTACATCCGCCTCTTATCACCCTGAAAGGCTCGAGGAACGGGTGGTGACGTTCATAAAGAAAAAGGAGTGGGCGNAGTACAACTTCGAGGTACCGACAGAGCCTGGTTCTTCATTCCCTGCAGGGAACAGGGAGGGCGGTGTAAGCAGAGCGGAGGTAGCAACGGCCACTCGGGAGTACATCCACCTCAATCACCCTGAAAGGCTCGAGGAACGGGTGGTGACGTTCATGAGGAAAAAGGGGTGGGCGTTGATTTGGACGCCGCCCTACATGCCGTCCTTTCAACCGATCGAGCTTTTTTGGCAGCATGGTAAGCAGTACGTCAGCCTTAACTTTGAGTTGAAGCGAAAGATGCGGGAGGTGTGGGTGCAGATTCGTAAAGGTTGGTAGGAATGGCCGGGCCAGGAGGGGGGGTGGAAGGCAGCCGATTGTTCGAAGCTGGCTGACCACGCCATTGGAGAGATGAATAAGTGGGTTAAGGACCGTGATGGAGTGCTTTCTGGTACGATAGGCAGCCTCGAAAAGCCGGACGGGTACGATACAGATGATGTGTCGCCCGTGGGTGATGTCGAGGAAGCGGTAGGGGAGCAGATCCAGCAGGAAAGCGCAGAATGGGGTGATGGCAGCGACGAGTTTGAACCATGATGAGATTTTTTTCAGCCTTGTGATCGATTGCTACACCCCTGCACTGGGTGTACCATGTTCCAACAGCACACATATGTGATTGCTGTGCGCGGGGGGTTGCGTCCCTGCTTCCAGCTGCTGTAGTTGTTGAAAAGAAAAATCAAAAATATTCAATTGTCGACAAGTCTTACTTACCCCGGATGCAGCTTGCCACACGTCAACTGCATTCATGTTCTATCTTCTTGCGTATTGACCGCCTTCGTCATGGAAGCGTTTTGCGCTACTGTATGCCGACAGGCGCTTAAAAATGTTAAGTTACAGGCCGAGAAGTGGGGATACCAATGTTGGCCGCATGTTGCTGGGCATTTTTTCCGATTTTGAATCTCTGCTCAGGTACACGACAAGCTATAACTCAAGCAATTTGATTTTTTTTTTAATGTTTATTTTTTTCATCGTGACCGCCTTTTCCCTGTCGTCAATTTGCGCTAGCTATCGTCTGCTGTGCTGCGCATCGTATTGCGAAAGTTACACTCCGAAACGCATGTCTTTTAAATTGCTCCTATTAATAATGTGCCACCGTAAATAGTGCTATGATCTCGACCGTCGACTATTCATCTCGACTTGCGGGCGCGCGGCCTGGTAGTACCCGGGTCATCCTCAAACGCTCTCGGCCGCTGCACAAGTTGGTTCCACTAGCATTCATTCCCTCTATATGCACCTCTTCTGCCTTTTCGCTCCGCGCTCTCTAGCGTGCTACGGCTAATGACATGGGTACCACGCCGGATAGGAACCATGCGTAGGTGCTATAGCTATTCTTTTATTTCTTTTCTCGGTCCCAAAAAATAATCTACCGAAAAATAAGGAGGCAACAGCATTTTTTTGTCTGCGACTTCAATTAATCCTCCCCGTTACGTCCGGCTTCGGGGTTTCCTTTTCATGGCGTTTGCACTGCTTTTTTCTAAGCTTGATCAGCGTTTAATTTTCGGGTAGCCAGGTATGACAGAGGACAGGATCTCCCCCCACCCCGGTGCCAACATTTTGCTGACGAAGACTCATTCGCCTCCGCTGTGTGGATCGTCCACCTCCCATCCATCGGTTCGGCCCCCTCGTGCAGCTTCGGAGTACTACGCTGGGAGCCCATCACGGATATGGAGCCATGGAACAGCGAGGGAAATACATGTAAAGCCGTTGGGAACGCGGTCATGAAGGACAAACGCCTCGATATTCCTCCAAGCATCTCAACGGGTCACTCAAAGCTCATCGAAGACTGCTGGAAGGCGGATCCGAGCAGTCGCCCCGATTTCGAAGACATCGAAGCGCGCCTGTTTTCCCTTTGCAACGAAAGTCTCGCGGTCGATGTTAAGTGGGGCGTGAAGCGCGGTCGTCGTCTGTTGTTCGCGGTGGCTGCTTCCCTGCAGCTCTTGTGTTTGGCCGTGTATGCCGGCCGACAATGGGCAAGCTTTTCCAGCTCGTTTCAGCACACAGAGTTGTGATCGGTAAACTCCTCTGTACCCGAAAACCATGCGGAAGGAATAGAGTGGCGTCCAAAATAGATGGGATGGCAACACATGTAATGGCGGTTGAGAGAACTACCATTTCTTTTCGAAAGGGCGACCGAAGAGACCAACAGTGAGGTGTTGGATGGTGTAGCGGGTCGTTTGGTCTGTCGGGTACTTGGTAGTAAGTAAAATGAAGGCACGGCTTTGAGCACAGGTCGATTATTCATCGGGATTTCCAGGGCCGCAAGTGGAGGCGATTTGACGTTACAGCAGCTTTTGCGATCACGCCGATGAATGTGAAACGATGACATGGTATCTGGTACGTTCTGCTGGAGGCAAAATTGTTTGTGTTGTTCTTGTAAAGTGCTTGTGGGTTGTCTTCGTTATTATTTTATTGTACGAAAAACATATTCCCATGCACAAATAAGTAAGTACAAGGATGGATGCAGAAAAATCAATGAAAGCTGCATCGTTTGCGACTTCATAGTAGGAAGTCCTTGTTTGGCTGCCCTTTGTTGACAAAACGGGACAACTGTCCAAGAAAAGTTTCGTACTGTTTAGTTTTTCGTGCCATCTGCTTGTCTTGACGGTTGACACGTGGATGGGGACCCTTTCGCGGGCAGGCAGAGAGAGGGAGGGGCCGACGTGCACAAGGAGCAACATCGGCGTGTTCACATGCCTGAGACACCATTTTGCCTCTCTCTGCGTCCAAGAGAAAACTCCTGCAGTGGCGGAGAAAATAGCTTCTTAGTGAATCGCATCTGCCCACCGCCTTATTCGATGGGCGGCGCAGCGCAATCCCTCCCATCTCAACGACAAGCATCACACAACACGGCCACGGAGCAGGATGGGCGTCTATCGTACACCTAGGTCACACACCAACAAACACGGAACATTACTGAAACATCAACTCGTCACCCCGTCGATTCGCCTCCGGGCAGCACCGCCTTAACTAAACTCGCTTTAAATACTTACGACCCTGACAGAAAAGCTG